AGGAAGCCACAAAGTGACAGGCTTGACAGGCCAGTGGCAGAGGCTGTCTATGAGCCTCTGCATCGCGTGTATGTGTGTGTGTGTGTGTGTACCTGCGGTGTGTGTGTACCTGCGTCCACCTGGGGTGTATGTGTGTATGTTCACCTGCAGTGTGTGTGTGTATCTACCTGGGTGTGTGTGTGTGTGTCTACCTGGAGTGTGTGTATGTGTGTCCACCTGGGGTATGTATATGTGTGTCCACCTAGGGTATGCGTGTGCGTATGTGTGTCCACTTGGAGTGTGTGTGTGTGTGTGTCTGTTCACCTGGGGTGTGTGTGTTTATGTGTGTGTGTCCGCCTGGGGTATGTGTGTGTATGTTCACCTGTAGTGTATGTGTGCATGTCCACCTGGAGGGTGTGTGTATATGTCCACCTGGGGTGTGTGTGTCCACCTGGGGTGTGTGTGTGTGTGTGTGTGTGTGTGTGTATCCACCTGGGCGGTGTCCACCTGGAGTGTGTGTGTGTCCACCTGGGGGTGGTGTGTCCACCTGGGGTGTTCGCCTGGGGGGTGTGTACATGTCCACCTGGTGTGTGTGTGTGTGTGTGTGTGTGTGTGTGTGTCCACCTGGGGCCCCCTCCCGTTCAGGGGACCCTCCCTGTGCCTTCTTGCAGTCATATGCCCTGTCGCCCTGAGACACCTCTCCTCCTCTGCACCCTGAGCATGAGGCCCTGTGGCAGGTGGTTTTGGTGTCCCTGGACCTTGGGCAAGTTACTTAATGCCGTTTGTTTTGTCTTCTGTAAAATGAGCATAATAGCCCCTTCTTTATGGGGCAGTGGTGAAGATTAAATTACCTCACACTTGAAAGTTCGGAGGAGTCCTAGCGCATGTGATAATAGCATTGAGTAAGTGCTATCTTTAGGTGTCTGTGCATCTGTTCTTCCTCAGCATGTCCCGTCTGTGCCATGGGTCAGCCCTTGGCACCTCCCACTGGGCTCATGGCTGTGCCAACTGTATTGGAGTGTTGGGGATGGTCAGGCGGGAAAAGGATTTGAGTCCCTAATGCATGGTGAGAAAGATAGGAGCAAGCAGGGGATGCAAGCTCCCCAGAGCCACCCATGTTTGGAGAGAGAGGCCTGAGCATAGGGAAGATCTGCCCAACTTAGGGAGGTCAGGGAGGGTGTCCCAAGGGAGGTGATGACTCAGCTGAGGTCTGAGCAGAGAGAGCGCTGCAGGCAGAGCAAGCGGCTTGCGCAAGTACCTGTGCAGGTGACAGGGAGGAGGCGCTGGAAGGAGAGCGGTGGCTGGAGTGAGGGCACCCCACGGGCCGCCTCCTAGACCTTCTTTGTAATAGCAGTGAGGAGCTTTGGAAAGTTTTGGGGAGAGGGCAGGGACATGATCCTGTTTCCAAGTTGAAAATCTCTCTCTCTTGGCCATGAGCACTGTGGATTGGACAGTTGTCAGCTGAGGGCTCCAGAATGATCCAAGCAAGTGGTGGGCTGTGCTGGGGGTGGAGTTTGAAACGAGAGATTTTGAGAGGCATTCACGAGCCCACACATTAGTGGGTTCCACTGTGGTGGAAGGGAGGAGGGAAGGCTGACTCCTGGGTCTCCCGCTCTGCCAGTGTGCAAGTGGCAGGCATGTGCTGAGCTCAGGCCTGTAGGAAGAGCTGGTTCAGGCACAGGTCAGCAGTGTGAGCCTGGCTGTGGTGAGCGGGAGCTGCCATGCGGATAGGAGGAGAGGACGAGGACGCAGCTGGCTCTGAGAAGGTTCATTCTTCAGAGCCACTGAAAATGGGAGGTCGGAAACTGTGGGAGGGGAAGTCCTCCTGGCCCTGGGCCTTAGCTGACTTCTCTGAAGATGGAGAGGGAACACTGAGTCCTGAAAAACTCTAGACAGCAGGACTCATTTGGACCTGAATTGAAATCCTGCCTCTGTAGCTCTGTGACCGTGAGCAAGTCACTAACTTCCCAAGCATACTTGCTTATCTGCAAATCTGGTTTGCTTGGAGGATGGTGGGAGCTGTTAAATGAGTCAGCGGGTCTAAGCCTCATGAAACACCGGCTGTCACTGGACCATTAATTGCATAAGGATTCAGAAGCAGGTGTTTATGTACATACTACAGCAGAGAAGCACACTCCAGCCAGGATGCAGATGATGCACTAGGAAAAGAAACTCCACCCAGGATGCAGATACTGCAACAGAGAAACACACTCCACCCAGGATGCAGACGCTGCACTAGAGGAGCACACTCCGGCCAGGATGCAGACAGTGCACTAGAGGAGCACACTCCGGCCAGGATGCAGACAGTGCACTAGAGGAGCACACTCCGGCCAGGATGCCCCTGTTTGCTGTCCTGGATCCCTGTTTAGAGTGGGTGGTCACATTTGCAGTGCAGCCTTCGGGCTGGCTGTGGAGTAGTCTACTCCATGGGCCTCCCTGCCTCCTTCTATCTTCAGGCAGGTGGCCCAGGATCTTTCTGCCATAAGAGAAAGGAGTTGTCTGAGTTACCTGCTGTGCCCTGGCCCCTCTGTGGGGCCAGAACAAGTGGGCATCCCCAGTAGCATCTGTGGAGAGTTTTGTGTACCCACTGTAGCTCTACTTACTAAAATATCTGTAAGCCCCAGTCTTTGTAGTCCAATAGAATAAACAGCAAAAGCAGAAAGATTAGCTTACAAGGATGTCGAAAGAAAAGAATGTTCTGATTAACTCACCTTTTTTTTTTCCAACCGGGAGCTTTCCTAAAATCACTTAACTCTTCTTGTGGAAAATAAAGATTACCAAGTATTGGGTCACATGAGCGTCCCAACTGTTGCCACTCTGGAGTGCCCGGGCCACCTCCCCACCCATCATCCCATTGGGTCAAAGTAACGCCAGAGCTGGCAGGAGACTGGTTTTATGCTGGAGTCATTGATGAAGACCTGGAATCTGTGACAGTTAAAACAATTTGCCCCAAGTCATGCAGCTGAGTGATGGATCCAGCCCGGGGTACCAAGTGTGCAGCCCCCATGTCACCCCACCACAGGCCACTGGTCCAGCCCAGGTCTCTGTCCCTCTACCCAGAATCCCTTCATCCCAGGCTGCTTGCTGTCTACTCCCCTCTGTAGCCCCAGACTCCCCTCATCCTCTTAAAGAGGCTGTTAGGAGAGAAAACCCTGGAAGCCACTTTTGGCCCAATGGTCCTGGATGTCCTCTGTCCTCTCCATGCCTTGGAGAGGTGCTTCTCCTGGTGGTCTGGCAGGAAAGAGCCTCCCCAGGGATCCCTAGGTCTTTTCAGAATTGCAGCCAAGCGTGAGTCTGGGCCGGGCATGGTAGCCCCCAGGGCTCAGCATGGATCCCAGGGCATGTGGCTTGTTCAGTAGGCGGGTGTGGGCTCTGCCCTCACACAGTCTTCTTGGGGACTGGTATGTATGGAGGGGGGCTCAGAGGCTTGCAGGCCATCACACCCTGCCCTCAGTACTCCTGCAGCTATGGAGACAAGACACTGACACGTGCATGATTCAGAGTAGCCCTGAGGCCAGTGGTGAGAGCCATCAGGAAAGCTTTGGGAGTGCCAAGGGGCCATGTAGACTGTGAGCAGGAGGCCCAAGGAGCCAGACCCTGAAGTCGGGGCAGCCTGCCTGGAGGAGGGAACACCCAGGCGGGGTCTCAGCAGGTCTGGGCAGGCGGAAGGGAGGAAAGCAGTCATCATAAGCCCAGAACAGCTGAGTGCAAACATGGATATGCTTGAGCAGCCCCCAGCGTCATTTATGGGTGACACCACCAGCCCATGGGGAACATGGAGGCCATGGAAAGGAGAATGGGTGGGCAGGGGCCAGCAAGACATGAGAAGAGGCTACTCCGTGCAGGTGTCCAGAAAGCCAAGGACAGGCCCAAGCATTTACTGTGCCCTGCCTTGGGCCAGGCACTTCTCATGCATCACCTAATTTACACCTCATGCCCACCCTGGTGGTCAGCATTTTAGAGCCCTTTAAAAAGAGAAACTGGCCCTGGGAGGGTCTGGACAAGGTGGGACGCTTGGCATGTGGAGAGTCATCCAGCAATGTTGTCAGACCGTTTCTAGGCCACTGTTTGTGCAGGGGAGAGACCTAGAATCCTCATGGGGGCACCGTGAGGGGGCGCAGTCTGGAACCACAGTGGAAGAGCCTGTGGCCCTGGGGTGCAGGGTACACTTGTCAGGGGCAAGGCCATTTTCCTTCTGCAGTCATGTAGGTGTGTGACAGCAGCTGGCGAGGGCTGAGGGCATATCCTTGTGTCCACACAGCCATCCAGACCTCTGCTTGGCAAACTCCCTATCAGGGGTGCACTTTAGTGTTGATTTCAGATACAACATGACCCATGACCTTGGAGCATTGACTTCCATTCATTCCCTTCCCCATGGAATTCTCCATAGCAGTGGGAACAGGCGAGCATCTCCCACACACAATAGCGTGGATGAATCGTACAAACTGACCATGTGGATGAGGAAGGCCAGATATGAAAGCGTATTTAAAATTCCATTTACACAAAGCTCAGAAGTAGGCAGCACTAAGCTGTTAGAAGCCAGGAGAGCGGCTGCCCTTGGGTTGGAAGATGCAGGGGGCCTGTGGGTACTGGCCAAGCCCTGTTTCTTGACCTAGGTGGGCTTCCCAGGTGGGCTTCCTTGGTGAGAGGCCACTGAACTGCTGCTCACTTGATTCATGCACACTCCAGTCGTGTGGTAAGCATTGCTGGGTTCCAGCCCTGGTCTCTGCACCTAATGGTAAAGACACTCTGCTCAGCGCTCATATTCACTTGTCCAAACACCTTACATTCATTCACTTCTCCAGTCCTCACCATGCCTTGTGCTACTCAGTCCATTTTACAGATCAATAAACTGAGACCTAGAGGTAACATTCTTTGTCTAAGAGCCCACAACTGGAAAGTTGGCGGAGCTGGGATTCTTATTAGACCATCGTCACAGGCTCTTCCTGTCCCCTGCCTACCTGTCACTCCCTCCCGCATCCCCAGCGATGCTGACCTGTCTTGTGTTGGCTGTCCCACAGTGTCCCGTTTCTCCAGCCCTCGGGTGACGCCCCGCCTGAGCCGCAAGCGGGCGCTGTCCATCTCCCCGCTCTCAGACGCCAGCCTGGACCTGCAGCGGATGATCCGCACCTCACCCAACTCGCTGGTGGCCTACATCAACAATTCCCGCAGCAGTTCAGCGGCCAGCGGCTCCTATGGGCACCTGTCGGCGGGCACCCTCAGGTAAGCCCTGCCGGCAAGCAGAGGGCTGAGAACGGGAGCTGGGCTGAGGGCCTGGTGGGGAGGGCCTGGCTTTTCAGTGGCTGCTTTTAACCCGAAGAGAAAGACAGGACTTGTGGCATTTGTGAATCCACATACTTGTACCTCTTTAATGAATTCAAAACCAATAGTGATCAAATTGATCACATCTGAGCACATCATGGACCAAGGCTGTCATGAATGACTCAAACGTGAAATCAAAGACGTTTGAGGTCGAAGGTGGTTTTCCTAGTATTTCACTGAATTTGGTGGAGCAGCCAAGTGTTGGTCAACCTTGGAGACCACACAAAATGTGACGTGGCCGTGGCCCGTGCTCTCAGCAAGCCTTTGGGCTGGCAGCAGGCCTCCCTCTGCAGCTGCGTCATGGCACACCCAAGCCTCACTGGCACCAGCCACCCTTTCCCCCTGTGTGATACCCTTGACTGAGGACTCAGACCCCAGCCAGCTTGATTGAAACTCACATGCCTCCCCAGCACCTCCGAGAGATGCCAGGAGGTGTTAGGAATGTCAGGAGAGTTTGTCCCAAGGACCTGGAGATAGGAGTAACCAGTGTATCTGTTATCTTTTGCTGCCTGATGAATGGCTGCAACACTGAGCAGTTTAAAACCACAAGCACCTGTTATCTCACTCCATTTCTGAGGGTCAGGAATTTGAGACAGGCTGAGCTCCAGCTCTCTCAGGTTGCCATAGTCAGGCTATCAGCCAGTGCTTCAGCCCACTGAAGGCGTGGCTGGGCCAGAATGGCCTCACGGGGCTCTCAGCAGTGCCCTTAGTTCCTCGTCTGTGAGCCTCTGCTTAGGGCTGCTTGAGTGTCCTCACAACATGGCTGCCAGGTCCCAGCCCACCTTGCAGCACGTGATGCAAAAGGAAGCAGGAGGAAGCCACAGTGTCTTTTACGGTTCAACAACAGGCGTCGCCAATCCTTCCTGGGTGTCCTGCTGTGTGAAGAGTGGCTCTCATGCAGGTGGTGTGACAGAGCCTAAAGGGCAGTAACAAGAGGAGAGTAATGGAAGCTGGAGGGCTCATGGCATGATTCCCGGATGAGGGGACATCAGAACAGGATTCAGAGGCCTCATGGGGTTCACGTAGTCAGGGAGCAGTGATGCAGGCATACAACTAGGTATCACAGCAGTGGAGGGGCCGGGGTGTGAGGATGAGGTGGAGCCTCGTCCCTGCTGGGTGTCAGCCTGCCAGGGGTGAAAGCTGGATCCTAGGGCAGAACCTGGGAGCTGATCACAGAAGGTGAGTGGCAGGCAGTAGGGAGCCACAGCTGGTTCTTCAGTGAGGAAGCCACAGTGATGGTGGGGCTAGCAACATGCCCATTCCTATCCCCTGGGCAAGGTTCTCTCTAAGAAGTGTTAACCTAACAGAGCCCCTGATGCCCCACCCCCACCTCCTTGTCTGCTCTCTGTTGCAGCCCAGCCTTCACCTTCCCCCACCCCATCAACCCCGTGGCTTACCAGCAGATTCTGAGCCAGCAGAGGGGTCTGGGGTCAGCCTTTGGACACACACCACCCCTGATCCAGCCCTCACCCACCTTCCTGGCTCAGCAGCCCATGGCCCTCACCTCCGTCAATGCCACGCCCACCCAGCTCAGCAGCAGCAGCAACTGCCTGAGTGACGCCAACCAGGTAGGTGGGTGCAGACGCCAGGGCGGCCACTGGGTGATCATCCAGACCACATGAGGGCTGTTTATTGCCAGCTCATGCCTAGAACTTATGGAGGGACTCTGGGTTCATCTCTGGCTGCTGGGGTGCCTTCTAGGCAGAGGCCACATGACAGAAAGGTGAGACCTGGGCTCAGTCCATGGCAAGCTTGCAGCGTCTCAATTCTGCTGTCTCCTGTCCAAGAAGCATAATAAGTAGATAGGGAAAGCCTCGAGTTCCCAGGGCCTCGCACCGTGGAGGTGCTCCCCGCCCAGCACATGTCATGGGTGGGTGAGTGAATCATTATAACACTGTCAGTTTAGTTGCAGAGCATGCATTTACAGCAGGCTTTCATATGCCGCCTCATTCGACCTTTCCAACGGGCCTTGAGCATGCCTAAGCATCCTAGTACGGTGCCTGGCACATCCTAGGTGCCATTATTGTTTGGCAAATGAAGTCTTGTTTTACAGATAAGGAGATGAAAAAGCAAAGGCCTTAGCGTCAGTCAGACCATCTTTGGGATCCTAACCTGCCTGAAAGCAGCAAATCTCTTTTCCTCTCGCAGCCTGCACGAACTTATCTGCAAAGTGGGGTTCCTGGCACCTAGGTGGGGTCATTGTGCGTATAAATGAGCTCATGTGTGCAGAGCCCCCATAGTCTCCGGAACCTGGGAGCACTGACAGTGACGGTGCCGGAGGGGAAGGGGCCACCCCAGGCCACCCACCAGCAAATGGTAGAGCCTGGATGTGCCTGCATCCTTGGGAAGAAGATAGGACACCACGGCCTCTAGAAGTGTCCCCTGTTCCAGAATGTCCTCCCTCTCCACTACAGGGCTCCTGGTGGCTCCCCAGAGCCTTCCCTGATGGTGGCTGTCAGCTCCAGAAATACTACCTTATAGGCCTTAAACCCTTCTCCTGAGGACCCGGGCTCTGGGCTGGCCAGGCCCTGTTCTCAGACCCACAGTGTCCCCTGCTCTGGAGGGCTGAGAAGTTGAGCCTCATCAGAACAAGGGCAAGGGTGTCCCGCATTTTCCAAAGAGAAGGTCTCTTTCCCATTTCCCAGAAGTCTTGGGGAGGCAGAGGTGGAGAGATGGGGTTGGCATGCCAAGGTCTGGGTACTCCTGTAGCAGGACACACGCCCCTGGCAGGAGGACTGAGCTGGGCACTCTATTTCTGATACTTTAAACACAGAGTTAGCCCAGATGGTCTGTGCAGGGACATCCTAAAGTCCAAAAGAATGTGGGGTATCCCTGCCCTGCCCCTGAGTGACAGGCTGTCCTCTGCACCCTCCCTCAGAACAAGCAGAGCAGTGAGTCGGCTGTGAGCAGCACCATCAACCCCGTCGCCATTCACAAGCGCAGCAAGGTCAAGACCGAGCCTGAGGGCCTGCGGCCGGCCTCCCCTCTGGCACTGACGCAGGTAACCTGCCGCCTGCCACACCACTCTCCAGCCAGGACCAGGCCTGTGGGCTGCCTTGGGGCTGTACGCTTGGTGGTGAATAGATGGCTTGCTGCCTTGCTGCATGGATGAATGAGTGACCCAGGGAGGACTGGGTGGGAATGCTGAGCTGTGACTGTCTCACCACTGTGTTCCCAGCATTCTGAACATACTACATACCCATCACACACTTGGTGAATGAATGAATGAATGAGTGAGTGAGTGAGTGAATGAACTTCTGCCTACCCATCCTTCTTGTCTCAGGCTGCATCCATCTCTCCCCACACCTGACCTGTGAGCAGCACCAGCCACAGCCTAGCTGAGTTGCTCATGTCCCTGGAATGGCTCAGGTCGCTCTGGGCTGCTCTCACTCTTGGAACTTCACCTGCCCCCCTGGCTCCTTCACTGCCTCTTCAGTCCCTCCTGATTCTTCTAGGTAATAGGACTTAGCTCCAGGCCCAAACACCCAGCCTAGCTCATGGGTCACTTCAGGGCATATGCTGTGTGCCCATTTGTCTCCCGGTCTGCACTCTAAGCTCTCGAGAGGTGGCACTGTGGGAGAAGTGCCTGACTGGGTTCCATGTCACCAGGGTTTACACAAGTGTGTAGTCACTGACACAGTCTTTTCCAATGATTCAACGTACATTTGAGTCAGTGAGTGGCATGGTGAGGGGAAAATAGGACAAGCTCAGGTGGGAGGGAAGAGCGGAGCAGCCCACAGCCCCATGCAGGCCTATCCTGTGACCCAGTCCCTGCGCTGGTCCTTTTGGAAACCTTCCACTTTTGGAAACTCTTCCACTCCAAGAGAGCAGGCAGGCAGCCCCTACTCTTGGAGCAGGGGCCTGTCTTGTAAAGGCCATGGCGTGCCTATTGACCTGGTAAGTAAGCCCCTGGCCCCCCAAGCCCTCTCATAGTGGCCCGGTCTCCATCCGTTACTACAGAAGCCCCAGCTTGGGTACCAAGGATGCTCGGGGCCTCCTATCCCCATCTCCCTGCATCTGCCGATCATCCTTTATCAAAACCGTGAGCCATCAGGCATGCTCTAGGCACTTAATTTTCATGAAATATTGGCTTCTGTTATTGTCAGGCAAACAGAGGGGTTGGTGACAAATTCTTCTCCCTTTGCTGACACCAAAGCCAGTCTCAGCATGATGCATGGTTTCCACGAGGCCAACCATCATCAGGGGCCGATGAAATTGATGAGGACGGCACATATCCAGGGAAGATAAACATGCCGGAATGGCGAGGATGGGGCCAGGCAGGCAGGCACTGAGCACCTGGGAACCCCATGGCCACACGCCGGTGAAGCCCTATGCCCACCCACCAACCCAGGCTGGGCACACAGGGCCTCCTGCCTGCCCAGCCTGGCTCTGCACACGTGTCAGTTAGGAAAGCTGCTTATCGTGGGGAGGTTGCCCCGCTGTCACTCAGTGCCCTGATTCACTGAACAAGGGCTCCCTGACTCATTTGTAAGGTGGATGGCTGGGCTTTCTCCCCGTTGGCAGAAACTGCAGAATAATGAACCTTCTCTGCTGAAGCCCTTGAAATTGCAGGCTAGAAGGATGCCCAGTGTAACCCTGAGGCCCTACCCACCTCTGTGCTGCCCTCTGATTGGAGTGTGACCTGTCAGCTTTCCAAGTCTTCAGAGTGAGCAGGGCGTGCAGCCGGTGGAAATAGCAAATTGACTTCCAGCTTTTCTCATAGCGTGGAGAGGGTGGTAGGAGGCCCTCTGGTCCACTCTCCCCACCGTTTCACCCCAACAGCCCCAGACAATCCCATTGCTAAAGATCTGGAAAGGAAACGCTCCCACGCCTTCCTTTGATTGTGGTGCCAATGTAGCCCCCGGAGCTTCGTCTGACATGCTGTTACCTCTCTGTTCAGAACAAGTGGATCAGTTGAAAGGTCCTGAGAAAGAGCCAGGACCCCTTCTTGGAAGAGGTGTTTGCAGCTCTTATGGAAAAATCAGTTGGGGTTTGAGTCTCCACTGACAGCAGGGCGTCCTGAGGCCACTTTCTGCCACTCCCAGAAAGGGACTGGGCATTAGGAGTGAGACCGTGACCTGGGCAGCTGTGGCACCTTATTGAGCCTCTGAAGCCAGTGAGCAGCAGGCCTTTTGACTATGGGGTGAGGTCATTCATCCCCCTGAGCCTGACTATACATGCTTTCCCCAGAGGCTATTTGGAAAGACATTTTCCTGCTGTTTTTTGGAGAGTTTGAAATGTGAAGCAAGTCTTGGTAACATCTGCCTCTGTGCCCGGCTTTGCTCCCAGCCTGCCTAGGAGACCAGTGGAATACTGGGGAGTCCTCGACAGCCCCTGTAGGCCCTCCGCAGGCTTTCTGTCCCTACTTGGGGCATCTGAGCCTCTCTCTATGTCCCAACCCCAGGCAGGTACCTGCCTGTCCTCATGTCCCCTGCTCAGAGGGTGGCCCTGGTTAGCATCTGTGAGGGTAGGGATGGTCTTGCAGGTTAATTCTCAGCCTGTTGCCAGTTTGAGAGCAAAAGACTGTCCTCTTTGAAGGGAATTTCAGGCACCTGTTACCAGGTGAAAGAATTTCAGGTACCTGTGATCAGGTGAAGGAATGTCTCAGGGGTCTTTCCTTCACCTCCTTAAATTGGCCTCATGGGCCCTAATGTGGTCTGGAGACCCAAGTCCAGACCTAGGCAGCCTTGAGCACACTGTGTGTTCATGGGGAGGGCGTCAGATTCTCCCTGTCATACAATCACATCATGCAGATGCCCGTGTGTTAGGGCTGTGGCAAGAAAAACTGCTTCCCCACGGCGGAAATCAAACCAGACAAAAGACCCCACCCCGCCTTTCTCCTGTTCTCCTGGCATGGAGTAGACCCAGGGAGTGACAGAACACCTTAACAAGGACAAGAGGGCACTAGAGAGGAAGGAGGAGCGGCCCAGGACAGGCCATCTGACAAGGAGAGCTGTGGACGGGCTGAGCTGAGGAAAGGAGCTAAAAAGCCTCCTGAGAGAGAGAGAGAGAGTGTGTGTGTGTGCGCACGCGCGCGCGTGTGTGTGTGCGCGTGTGTGTGTGTGCGTGCATGCATGTGTTGTGTGTGCAGGCACACACTTGCATCCACACCTGTAACAGAATGCATGGGACTAACAGCGACCTCTTTTCAGGGCCAGGTGTCTGGACACGGCTCATGTGGGTATGCCCTTCCCCTCTCCCAGGAGCAGCTGGCTGACCTCAAGGAAGACCTGGACAGGGATGACTGCAAGCAGGAGGCTGAGGTGGTCATCTATGAGACCAACTGCCACTGGGAAGACTGCACCAAGGAGTACGACACCCAGGAGCAGCTGGTGCATGTAAGCCACCGAGCCCCACCCAGCAGCCAGCCCACCGGGGGACTGCCCAGGCCGCACAGGATGCTGAGCCTTCCCGGGTCTCTACTAGAGAAAAGGGGCTGGAGGAAGAGGCCCCCAGAGATGCCCGGGCCACATCCCCTGCAAGTGGGAGACATGATTACTTATGTGTGCCCTGCCTGTTTTTAAGACAGCTTCCAATACATACGTAATATAAGAGATTAAAAGAAAAAATAAGTAAATGCGACTATCAGGAAAAAGGGAACAATAAAATGAAGCCAGGAATAGAGTTAGTGTTAAAAACCGAGTGCTTTGAGCTATAGTCTCTGTACTATAGACTATTTCTCTTGGGAGATTCCTAATAGCCAGTGCAAAGAGGGAAATACAATTAGTTAAACCAGCCAGCATCCACAAGATAATAAATAAAAGAAGCTTCTCCCATGATAGAAGGAGTTGACCATTTCCTCTTGGAGACTGTTCTCAGATACCCAGTGGATATGGGTGCAGGGGGGTGTCTACCCCAAGATCAGAGAGGAGGCCACGTAACAATGCCTTAGTACTGACGGCTCAGGCAATTAGAGACGACCATGGGAGCCGGCGAGCCCTTCAGGGTAGGCGTCTTGGTCTCACTACAAACTCTTACACTGCAGCGTCCCTTATGTGGCAGTCAGGGTGATGTGTGCAGCGTGCAGAGCGGAGGCTCGGTGTGGGAGACACCTGGCTCCAAACCTGTCCCCACCACAACCAGCTGCGTGGTTCTGAGCAAGCAACTCCATCTCTGCAAGCCTCATTTTTTTTCCTATAAAGGGGGGTGATGCTGCTCCACAGCGTGCTCAGTCATGTTCATCAGCACTTAGTGGCTCTCAGGCGCTCTGCACCTAGCAGCTCCCTCCTTCCTCCTCCTGCTCCCCACACCACCCCTCATGGCTCTCTCTTCTCCATCCAAAAAAGAACTTAAATTCAAGAAAGCCCCCTCCCAACTCCCAACACACATTCCTTGGTGAATGAGTGTCTGCAAAGATGAACTCACTAAATTAGTAGCCCCGATTGCTGGGAAGAGCAGACACACATACATGTGCACGCACACACGCGTATGCACACGTCTCCTCTTCATATTCGGAAGCCATCCCAGAGGTGCTTGTTTCTCCCCAGCTCTGCGAACTCAGCATTTAGGACACACCAACTCCCTCTGTTTCTTCTGTTTATGCAACTTGCTCCCAAATACTGTAGGTTTCTTTTGTACTGGAGTTTTTCCTCCCAAACACCGTTCTCACCCAGAAGACCAGAATTTCCCAGCAAAGGAGTGCAGCTGACATAGAACTGGTGAACCAAGGTTTTATCTAACCTCCTCTGGATCTGAGATTTAAATTTTCAACTTATGCCACCTCTGTGGGCTAAACAAGCCCTAGCCGGAGCAGGGGCCGTGGCGTCCTGAGTTGCAGAACAAATCAGTCAGATGAAAAGAGGAGAGAGGGACAGCCTCTCAGGCCAGGGGATGGCCAAAGCCAGAGCATGCAGATGAGGATGTCAAAGACGTGCTCTGTGATAAGTGGGTCAGCTCCAAGAGCAGGCATGGATTTCCTCAAACAAAGGCTGAGGGTCCCCAACCTGGAAGGAAGGGCTTTAACCAGGGACTTCTGCCGATGCCCTGGACTGTCCTACAGCTATAGGTGGCCACGGCCACCAGGCCCTGGAAAAAGCAGACCCCTTCACCCAGCTCTGTCTGTGTCTGTCTCTCTCTGCTCCCTGGAAAGAGGGATGGAACAGGCGCACAGGCGAGCTGGAGCCCCCGTCGATTATTAACAATTTGTTGCTAAGTAAACCAATAAGAAATAAATGAAAGGCATTGTCAGGAGGCATTTTTATCATTTGAAAGGCTTTAAAAATGGAAAGTGAGGGTAGTATGATAAGATTTCTCTGGAAGTTCAAAGCGCTATAGATTTCACATGCTCCAACAGGGGTATTTGTATGCATGACAATGGGGCCAGTCTCATGAGGTGTGAGGATCTGACAGTTTTCTGTCCTCTGGGGCAAGGCACTGCCAGTGCCTGATGCTTAGCTCTCAGGACAGCCTTGCAGGTGGCAAAGGTCCACAGCAGCAGAGAGTCCAGCAGAACAATATTGCAGGCCGCAAATGCCTGCCACCCACGTAATTTACATGTCCTAGGGGTGCCTTTAAAAGGAGCAAAAAGAAGCAGGTGTAGTTCATTTTAATATTTTTTATTTACCCCAATATATCTGAAATATTATTTCAACAGGTAGTTAATAGAAAACATAATTATTGAGATATTGTATATTCTTTTTTTTTCCATTCTAAGTCTTTGAAACTGACGTTTAGTTTGCACTTCTAGCCCGTCCCGGCTTGGGCCAGCCATATTTCAAGTGTGCAAGAGCCACATGGGACAAGTGGCTACTGCAGCAGACAGTATGGGTCTAGAGGTTGTGGGAGTGGGGCTGGGAGGAAGTGAAGAACGGAGGAGGAAGGAGAGGCCTCCAAGACCTGACTGTCTTGGCCTCGCCATCGGGATGGGGAAGCAAAGCCCCGCCTGACCCGAGAGACACGCGGGGTTAGTCGTGCTGCGCTGGATTTCCTGCCTCACTCGCCTAGGCTGTTTTCTCCCAGGGTGAGCCCCACGCAGTGCCCAGAGCCCACCATTAAGGTCAGATCTGGCCCTGCCACATCGCCTGCCAGGGCCCAGGGCAGGCCGCTGAACTCTCTGTGCCTTTGTCAAAAGGGGACAAAGCCATTATCTCATGGGTCAATACAAAAATAGAAATGAGCATGTGTTGTTTTTCTGTTATAACAAAACATGTTATTTACAAACCTCTGAAACAATGGGCCAAGCTTAGGAGAGGCTTCTCACGCCCCACTATGGGACGCTTGCCTCGCTGCGGTTAATTAGTGCCCACTGTTTGCAGCCTGGGAGCGTCTCACCCCAGAGCCCTGAGCCCAGCCTGGGGTGCATGGGATGCCTTTGCCCAGTACAGATGGTCACTTTGATGACTGATTGGAAAATGCAGGGAAGATAAGTGGCACGCAGTAGGCCTTCATTTAATGGCAGCTAGTGATTATTCATGAGGAGGTGTGGCCTGGCTTGTAGGGGTGATCTTGTTAGGTCAGTGGTCTGCACGTAGTAGGTGGGATGGGCAATGAGGAGCGTGGTCTGAACATAATAGGTGGGGTCGGCAGGGTGGGTGGTCTGCACACAGGTCGAGGAGGGCCGGGGGCGTGCGGGAGGCGTGCCGGGGCGGGTGGTCAGCTGACAGCCGGAGGTGGTCTGTGGGCCTCGTGGCCCTGCTTACCCACTCCTGGGCATTTCCCTCCCGGCAGCACATCAACAATGAGCACATCCACGGGGAGAAGAAGGAGTTTGTGTGCCGCTGGCAGGCCTGCACGCGGGAGCAGAAGCCCTTCAAGGCACAGTACATGCTGGTGGTGCACATGCGGCGGCACACAGGCGAGAAGCCCCACAAGTGCACGGTGAGTGGCTTCTCCCCACCCCCGCCGCGGCATCAGGACCGGCCCGTCAGCCTGGCCAGGGGGATCGTGTTCGGAGGTGGCCGGCCACGGGCATACCAGGTGGAGCAGGCCACAGCAGGGGCTCTGGGACAGAAGCCTGTTCCCACTCTGCTTGTTTGGGTACTGGAGGCCCCTCACCTCGTGCTGTCCCAGACATTGATGGATTTGCTCTCTGGGTGTGAGCGTCTTGGTAAGCACAGAGAAATATGTGTGAGTGTGTCTGTGATTGTCAGCCCAAAGGCAGAGCTGCCTCCTGCAGTTTGCTTGGCTCGGTGACACTGGGCAGAGGGACTACTCCATAGCACTCTGCAGAGGAAAAAAACATCATTGGTGCTTCAGAGCTTGAGCCATGATGGGTTAAAACTCATTTGGGTTGAAGGTTTTTTGTTTATTTGTTTTTTGAGAAAGTCTCACTGTGTCACCCAGGCAGCTCATTGCAGCCTCCACCTCCTGGGATCAGGCAGTCCTCCCACCTCAGCCTCCTGAGTAGCTGGGACTACAGGCGCATGTCACCACATCCAGCTAATTTTTGGGGTTTTTTGTAGAGATGGGATTTCACCATGTTGCCCAGGCCACTCAAACTCCTGGGCTCAAGCAGTCCGCCTGCCTCGGCCTCCCAAAGTGCTGGGATTACAGGCTTGAGCCACAGCTCCCAGCTGAGTTATTATTATTATTTTTTAGTGAGCTCAAAGACCTTTTCTATGGTCTCCTTTAGGAGGTCAACAGGATTTATGACTATAGTTCGAGAGACTTATTTTTTTGCCCCACACAAGCAGACGTGGTTTTATCTGCAGCTGAAACATCTGGGAACTCCTCTTTGTGAATTCCTGTTTCATAGATTCTGAGACATACATTTTATTTTCACCTTAGTATCTCTGAAGTCAGACTGTCTTAAAATCCGTGGTGTCCAGGATCCAGTGAAATATGCTACCTTTGTTGGCATGTCAGTTTTTTTATTGAGAAATAACTCTCTGTGCCTTTGTGGAAAGGGGACAAAGCCATTATCTCATGGATCACTACCAAAAATAGAGATGAACATACCATAAAGATCACCCTTTTAAGAAAATGTACAATTTAGTTGTGTTTAATATATTCCCAAATTTGTACAACAATTACTACTAATTTCAGAACATTTTCATCACCCCAGAAAGATACCCTGTACTCATTAGCAGCCGCTCCGAATTCTCTCCATCCCACAGCCCTGAACAATTACTAATCTGCTTTCTCTTTGTATGGATTTGCCTATTCTGGAAATTTCATAAAAACTGAAATAATACAATATGTGACTTTGTGTCTTGCTTCGTTCAGTTAACACGTTTTCAAGGTTTCATCTGTGTTGTAGCATGCACACGTACTTTATTTCTTTTCATGGCTGCATAATATTCCATTGAATGGCTAGACTGTGCTTTGTTTATGCATTCATCAGTTGATGGATATTTGCATTGCATTCACTTTGGGGCTATTATGAATAATGCTAATATGGATATGTATGTTCATGTTTTTACATGGACATAACGTTTTCACTTCTCTTGGGTATGTGTAACTAGGAGTGGGATTGCTAAGTCATATGGCAATTGAGGAACTACTAGACTGTTTTCCAAAAACACTGCTCCATTTTAACTTTCCACCCACAACGAATGAGGGTTCCGATTTCCCCAGATCTTCACCAACACTGGTTGTTACCTGTCTTTTTTATTCTAGCCTTATCCTAGTGGGTATAGAGTCGTATTTTATTGTGTTTTTGATTGGCACTTCCCTAGTTAGTGACTAATGATGTTGAACTTCATTTTCAGGAGCTTACTGGACATTTGTGTATCTTCTTTGGAGAACTGTTTACTCAAATATTGCCCATTTTGAAATCTGGGCCTCTTTTTGTTATTAACTTGTAAGAATTTTTTATATGTCTAAGTTACTAGACCCTTATCAGATATATAACTTGCAAATAATTCTCCCATTCTCTCAGTTTTCTTTTCATTTCTCTGATACTTTTCTTTAAGGCACAAAAGTTTTTAATTTTGAGGTTGTTTAATTTTTTAATTGCTTGTGCTTTTAGCGTCATAGCTAAGGAACCATTGCCTAATACAAGGTCACAAAAATTTACCTCTATGTTTTCTTCTAAGAGTTTTATAGTTTATAAAGATAGACTTTTCTTTATAGAAATATTGAATACTGGCACTCTAAAAAATTTTAAAAATTTTTAAAAGGAAATATATGTGTGTATAAGGGGTTTTATAATAAAGCTCTTCCATTGAGGTCTTTGGTCCATCTGGAGTTGTTTGTTTGTTTGTTTGCCTGGAGACAGAGTCTTCTCCCTCTGTTACCCAGGCTGGAGTGCAGTGGTGCCATCTTGGCTCACTGCAACCTCCGCCTCCCGGGTTCAAGCAATTCTCCTGCCTCAGCCTCCCAAGTAGCTGGAATTCAGGCATGTGCTATCACACCTGGCTAATTTTTTGTATTTTTAGTAGAGACAGGTTTTCACCACGATGGCCAGGCTGGTCTCGAACTCCTGACCTCAGGTGATCTGCCTGCCTCGGCCCCCCAAAATGCTGGGATTACAAGCGTGAGCACCATGCCCTCCCTGGAGTTAATGTTTGTACACGGTATGAGGTAGGGATCCAAACTTACTCTTTTGCATGTGATTACGCAGTTGTCTGAGTTCATTTGTTGAAAAACTGTTCTTTCTACTTGAATGGTCTTGGCACGCTTGTCAAAACTCAATTGACCTTAAGTGTCTGGGTTTCCTTCTGAACTGCCAGTTCTATTGCGTGGATCTCTGTGTCTCTCTTTATACCACATGCAGTCTTTCTTACTGTCAATGTGTAGGAAGTAAATTGGGACATATGAGTCCTCCAAATTTGTCCTCCTTTTGCAAGATTGTTCTGGCTCTTTGGGGCCCATTGCAACAAGTTATTTTCTTAACATCCTCAGTGGTGGCAAATCATAGCCCTTTGATGATATGAGCTGTGAGTTGTGGAAACAGATGAAAGGCATTTGGAGCCAAGCGTGCTCAATCAGACGGGTCAGGAATAAAGGGGAGGATGTGAGGAATGAGACAGCTCCTACCGGGATGTGGGTGTCCTCCTGAGGGCAGTTTTCATACATCCATTCAGTGTAACCACAGTATCTTTGGAATAGCTGCAGAGCTCCCTGCAATGATCTCCTCCTCCTTCTCCCCTTCCTCCTTCCTTCCCTCTCTCCCACCTCCTTTCTTTCCTTCCTCTCTCCCTTGCTCCCTCCTTTCCTCCTTCTTTCCCAAAAATGTTTCTTGAGTGCCTAGGCGCTAAATATTAGGAACACAGCAATGAACAAGACCCAGAAGATTCCCGCTCTGTGGAGCTGGTATTCTAGTAAGAAGGCTGGGTAGCAAAATGATTAAGATCATTATAAATCATGCCAAGGGGAATAACGGAGAGAGGATAGTGTGTTGTGATTGAAAGTATTAGAAAAACGCTCTCAGAGGGACCTGGGCCAGGAACCAGATTGGGTGGGGGCTGCGAAAGTTTCCAGCCAGAAAGGAACCTTTCTGGGTAGGTTCCCTACTACTGGGTAGGCAGAGGCCCCAAGCCAGGAAGAACTTAGTGGGGTCAAAGAACTGAAAGGAGACCAGCGTGGCCAGAGTGAAGGTGAGGGTGGCCCAGTCACTGAAGGACTTGAAAGACTGAATTTTATTCTCAGCACATTTTAGTGTGCAGAAAAATTCTAATCGAGAGTGGTACTGGGAATCAGTTCAAAGTAATAGTTTAGAGTTTAATGATACAGGAATGTGCTGCTGATTTTAAAAAATAGAATATGTAACTGAATACTTGATATGTTCCCAATTTTGGTTTTAAAGACATGTGGAGATGAATTGCAGAGTCACCAGAATGAAACTTACCGGCCTGTCAGTGGTGGCACCCCCTGGGCAGCCAGGTTTTTCATTTTCTCTTTGCACTTTTCAGCCCTTTCCATGTTTTCAGGAAAGGAAAGTAACATCTTTAAAACGCATGCTTCTGGGTGCGCTGATGGGGTGGAGCAGAGCAGGGCAGGGGAATCAGCAGCCCGGCCCCCTGGGAAGCCTTGACTGACTGAACCGCCTCCTTCTAGTTCGAGGGCTGCTCGAAGGCCTACTCACGCCTGGAGAACCTGAAGACGCACCTGCGCTCCCACACCGGGGAGAAGCCGTACGTGTGTGAGCACGAGGGCTGCAACAAGGCCTTCTCCAACGCCTCGGACCGCGCCAAGCACCAGAACCGCACCCACTCCAACGAGGTACCCCCGAGGGGCACACACTGGGCATGCACACGAGGGCCCCACCAATACCCTATGGCTTGTAGGCATCTGCAGGCCAGCAGATAGCCAGGTGCCTGGTGTCCATCCCCCACCCCTGACCGGCTGCACATCCTCGGACACAGACCAAGACTGAAACCTGGACAGACCAGTCTCTCTCTGCCACATCCTCTCCTCTAAAAGATGCCCCATGAGGTCCCATGGAGTCCTGACCCTCTCTGTGCCTCCATTTCCTTATCTCTGTAATAAATATAATAGTGGCCTCCTCAGAGGCCGTCATGAGGTCCTTGGGAGCTGAAGTTGAGGCAGGGAAGTGGCCTCTCTGATCTCGGCGTGCTTAACATGCATCTGCTCCCTGTTCCTCGGGGATGCTGGGTGGGTTCTGCCTCCCCATCCTCTAGACGCGGAAACAAATACTCAGAGATGAAACGACTTTCCCCAGTACCAGAGGAGTGATGATTCCCCTGCAGCTGTGAAAATACCCTGGGTCACTGCTTCACACCCCCAAATTCCCTTTCCACCACAAGCAGGTGTCCCACTGGGGAGCAGCTGCCCTGCTGCCTGGGGGAAGCAGAGCAGTGCTGCCTGAGCTTGGCACTTGTTGGCAGCCCCCTGGCCTGTTGGCTTGAGCAGCCAGCAGTGACATACTCCAGCTGTTAGCGCGGCCTGGGCCTGCCGTGGCTGTCCGCCCCAGCAAATGGGGCACAGAGCAGCCCCTGTCTTCCTGAGTAGGCAGAGCCCCTATCTGGGCTGTGAGAACCAGGGAAAGAAGCCAGGCAAGAGCTGGTGGTGACCCAGCCCAGTCACACAATGACTGTCGCTCAGGCTTACTCAGAAAAGTATCTTTTAAAAAGTTTAGGCACATCCTAGACCCCAAAGGGGCTTTGCTCTAATGCTTGTAAGAAGTTAGAGGAATTTTCAAAGGCATCTGAACCCCTGAGAGTCTCTCACGTGTGTATGTGTTTATGTTTTTGTGTAGATGTGGGGTGTGTGTGTGTGTGTGTGTGTGTATAGATGCGGGGGAATATGAGTGCACACACATATCCACATTCAGATACACAAACACTCCCCCGTATCTATACACACACATACATACACTTACAAATGTATGTGTATATGTGCTTGTGTATATGTGTTTGTTTTTGTGTAGATGTGTGTGTGTGTGTGTGTGTGTGTGTGTGTGTGTGTGTATAGATGCAGGGGAGTATGAATGCACACACATAACCACATACAGATACACACATACTCCCCTGCATCTACAAACACACACATACATACACTTACAAATGTATGTGTATATGTGCTTGTGTATATACTTACAAATGTATGTGTATATGTACTTGTATATATGTGTTTATGTTTTTGTGTAGACGTAGGGTGTGTGTGTGTGTGTGTGTGCACATGTGCGCGTGTTTATGGGTCCAAGACTGAGGTTTGGAAATCCTGAGTTTTCACCCCATTACTGGATAACTTGGAACCTGTTCCTTTGCCTCCCTGATCCTGCCTTTCTTCATCAGAGAAATCCCTGTCACACTGTACACTGAGCTCATACACTTGCTACTAGTACTAAAAACCCCACTGCCCTGTTCCCCAAGAGGCAGCACTGTGATTACACGAGGCGCGTGTGTGCCCAGCCTCTTGTGGCGGGACTCCCCTCGGCCATGTGCTTACCTGCATGAACAGGTGGCAGACAAGCCAGGCTACGGCCAGGCTCCTGCAGGCGTGGGTCAGGCATGGCCCTGTCCATGGAGCACTGGCTACAAAATCGACAGAGCACCTACTGACGCTGCCAGCCAGGCTCTGCCGCGGGACGTGGAAAGCTTCAGGAGAACAGGGAGAGCACCCTTCAGAGTTGGTCCTTGTACCCCCATCCATGACACAGGCCTGCTTCTCCCCCCAGAAACCCTACATCTGCAAGATCCCAGGCTGCACCAAGAGATACACAGACCCCAGCTCTCTCCGGAAGCATGTGAAAACGGTCCATGGCCCAGATGCCCACGTCACCAAGAAGCAGCGCAACGACGTGCACCTCCGCACACCGCTGCTCAAAGAGAACGGGGACAGTGAGGCCGGCGCCGAGCCTGGCAGCCGTGGTTCTGAGGACAGCGCCGAGGCCAGCAGCACCAGCCAGGCTGTGGAGGACTGCCTGCACGTCCGAGCCATCAAGACCGAGAGCTCCGGGGTAAGCGTAGCTGGGCAGCCCAGCGGCGCAAGGCGACTCCATAGCCGTGCCCAGGGCCAACCTGACCGTGGTTGTGGGCTCTGCCCAAAGGTCCCCCTCTAAGGGCACATCAGTGTCCCTCCTCTCTCCTCCAACTTGGCTTTCCCCCTTCACCACCTTGGGTCTCACGGGGAACCTGTTTTGTCCAGGTCCCATTCTGCTCTGACCAGGCTCCTGCTGGGTGTGTGGCAGTGCCCTGGATGAGGGGGATGCTGCCCTGTATGGTGGGCCTGCACAGGGCGGGGGTGGCCTCTGCATGTCCGCCTTTCCAACCAGCAGCCAAGCGCCGCTGCCAGCCCCCACCCGTCTGTCCTGTCTCTGCATCCCCGCCCCTCTAGCATCCACTCCTTTTGTTCTAACCACCTGCTCTTTGTCTCCACCTCTTTTTCCCAACTGTACCTCCCCTAAGGATAGACGGTACTGAGGTGAGCCAAGGAGCTGGGCGTGTGTGGGTGGGCTGGGGGAGTGAGGGTGGCGGGGGAGCTGGTTCATGCTGCTGCCTGGCAGAGACTCCCCTGTCAGTCCAGGCCTCATAGGCCCAGGCAGGTAGGCCTGCACGCGGCAGGGCACTGCAGGTGGGGCCATTCCCCTTGGCAGCCAGAGTGGAGCTGGCAGGTGCTGGGGAGCAGGGGCGCCAGGCTGTGTCAGGGACAGAATGACAGGGAGGCATGCGTCCAGGCTACTGAGGGTCCTGAGGGCCAAGCAGAAGAATGTGGATGGCACCATGGGCAACACCTAGAAGGTCCCCGCTCCCATGAAGCCTTTGTCCTCATGGGAAGGAAGATCTCAGCTTCCTAAGGAAGCTGGAATTTGGGGCTATTTGGCCCAGCAATGAGCCCAGAAGTGGTGCATCCTCATCTGGGCTCAGTGCAGTGCAAGCCTCATCTGGGCTCAGATCCGAGTCCTGTGGATGTCATCCGATCGCTGGCATTCTGCAATGTACATGTGCCATGAGCTCCCTGCCCCACTCTACCTAACCCAGAGGGAAGGCTGCTTTGGGGTGGCCCTTTAGGCAAGGACTGCATCCCACAGGTCCCCCTCCACGGTCATCCTTTCCCTGTCTAACAACCTGCCCCTGGCCTTTTGAGATCATCCTGTCTGGTTGAAGCCACCAAGTCAGCAGGTTTTCATTCCTCACCTCATCTGGGTACATGGCTGTTTGGGGGATTAAATGCCTTCTTTCATGCCATACTGGGTGCCTTCTGCATGCTGCCTGTTGTCTATCCACCCACTAACCCTGCACCGGAATCAGTTCAGGTCCATCTCATAGGTGGGGAAGCCAAGGTTAAGAGAAGTGAAGTGACTTGACCATTTTGAGCAGACAGACTCGCGATGCTTTACATGCTCCTCTGCAAGGCGGCCTCCTTCCCTCACCCCCCAGCCCCGCAGGCTGTGTAAGGGTGTGGTGCATGTGCAGGCCTAGAGGCAGGACCTGGTGGACTCTCACGCCCTCTGAGTCTGTGCTTTCTTGCCTCGTCCTCTGCAGCTGTGTCAGTCCAGCCCCGGGGCCCAGTCGTCCTGCAGCAGCGAGCCCTCTCCCCTGGGCAGTGCCCCCAACAATGACAGTGGCGTGGAGATGCCGGGGACGGGTCCCGGGAGCCTGGGAGACCTGACGGCGCTGGATGACACACCTCCAGGGGCCGACACCTCAGCCCTGGCTGTCCCCTCCACCGGTGGCCTCCAGCTGCGCAAACACATGACCACCATGCACAGATTTGAGCAGCTCAAGAAGGAGAAGCTCAAGTCACTCAAGGATTCCTGCTCATGGGCCGGGCCGACTCCACACACGCGGAACACCAAGCTGCCTCCCCTCCCGGGAAGTGGTAAGTGAAGGCCGGGAGTTTGCAGATGGGGCAGGAGAGAGCCTGGGGCAGCACCAGCTAGGCTTACACCCACCAAGCACCAGTGCTATCTCACCGGATCCCTACAGGATCTTACCAGCCCAGTACAGAAAAGGAAACTGAGGCTCAGAGAGGTGAAACGCCTTACCCAAACCAGTGGCAGAGGTGATAGCCTAGTCTGTGTGTCTCCAAAACCCATGCTCCTTCAACTGCACCATGCTGAGTCCCTGTAACCCCCCAAAACAAGCAGGCCCTGCTCACATCATCCTCTTCTTCACCCAGTCATTCATTCATTGATTAGGCACTTGCTGTAGGCACCATGTCAAAGGCCCTAGGCAGGAGAACCGCTGAATTCCAGTCCCAAAGGAGCATATGGTTAGAAGCTTGTGCCACCAGATTTATAACCTACTGCAGAATGAGCCAGGTACCACGAAACCAGAGCTCGGGGTAGAGCTGTGCAGAGGAAGGAGAAAGCACATTGAGCTGGGTACATGCAGGGAGGACTTCATGGAGGAGGCAGCACTGTGCTCAGCCCCAGGAGGTGCCGGCCAGGCTCTGAGATGGAAGGCATCATTAGCAAACATGTCTCAGGTACCGACTCTGTGCCTGGGATTGTGCCGGGCTGCCACTGTGGTAGACGCTGGTGTACCACCTGCTTTGACTTGAACCTGGGAAACCCTGTCTCTAAAAAAAAGAAAGAAAGAAAGAAAACATGCATCTCCTGAGGATTTGGTGTCCCAACTTTTGGGGACTGCTGGTAAATGGCCTTGAATTCTCAGCCGCCTACAGGGATCTCCTGAGTTGCAGACAGATGCCCCACCCAAGGTTACCCCTTCCCAGCAGGCCCACATACAATGACTGGTCACTGCGGGAGTATAAAGGCCCAGCCATCAAGACGAAGCTCAGAGAGGTGCTCAGCTCAGGGCAGCACTGAAGAGCCATTGGAGGTCCTGGGCTTCCCGTGACATCATCTTGGGTTCACTTCTCCTCTGCCCACTCTTGCAGCCTCTCTTTCCTTTCTTTCCTTCCATGGGTATGGACCTCAGGGCACTCCCTGTAATATCCTGCTCCTTCAACTCCAACTCAGGGGAGCCCAGGTGACAACACCTCCATGGACTGTGAGGGTGCAGTGCCAGGAGACTGGCCTGGGCCTTCCTGGGCTGCTCATCCCCTCCTCTGTGTAACTCAGTCCTATGGAGACGCACATTCATCTACAGCTGGAGAAACTAAGTCCAGAGAAAGGAGAATGCAGGGCCAGACAGATAATGGTGGAGTTAAGACAGGGACTTAGGCCTCCTGACTTCCCTCGCCCACCCTTAGCATTAAGTGCCACCATTTGTTTACATATTACTTTTTCCTTCCCCTTCTTTATTGAAAAACCATCTGATCACTGGGCGTGGTGGCACGTGTGCCCTAGCTACTCCAGAGTCTGAGGAGGGAGGATCCCTTGAGCCCAGGAGTTTAAGGCCAGCCTGGGAAACTCTGTCTCTAAAAAGAGAAAGAAAGAAAGAAAACATGCATCTCTTCTAGGGTCCCAGGCCCTCTTCTAGGGCTCCAGGCCCAGCGCGATGACTGAGCATGGTCAAAGCAAGCAGCCACCCAACCCTTGTCCTGATGCCGACCCCTCTGCTTTCCCGCAGGCTCCATCCTGGAAAACTTCAGCGGCAGTGGGGGCGGCGAGCCCTCGGGACTGCTGCCCAACCCGCGACTGTCGGAGCTGTCCGCGAGCGAGGTGACCATGCTGAGCCAGCTGCAGGAGCGCCGCGACAGCTCCACTAGCACTGTCAGCTCGGCCTACACCGTGAGCCGCCGCTCCTCCGGCATCTCCCCCTACTTCTCCAGCCGCCGCTCCAGCGAGGCCTCGCCCCTGGGCGCTGGCCGCCCGCACAATGCCAGCTCCGCAGACTCCTACGACCCCATCTCCACAGACGCGTCGCGGCGCTCGAGCGAAGCCAGCCAGTGCAGCGGCGGCTCCGGGCTGCTCAACCTCACGCCCGCGCAGCAGTACAGCCTGCGGGCCAAGTACGCAGCGGCCACCGGCGGCCCCCCGCCCACCCCGCTGCCCGGGCTGGAGCGCATGAGCCTGCGGACCAGGCTGGCGCTGCTGGATGCGCCAGAGCGCACTCTGCCCCCCGGCTGCCCACGCCCGCTGGGGCCGCGGCGTGGCAGCGATGGGCCGACCTATGGCCACGGCCACGCAGGGGTCGCACCCGCCTTCCCTCACGAGGCTCCGGGCGGCGGCGCCAGGCGGGCCAGCGACCCTGTGCGGCGGCCCGGTGCCCTGGCCCTGCCGCGGGTGCAGCGCTTCCACAGCGCCCACAACGTAAACCCTGGCCCGCTGCCGCCCTGTGCCGACAGGCGAGGCCTCCGCCTGCAGAGCCACCCTAGCACCGACGGCGGCCTGGCTCGCGGCACCTACTCGCCCCGGCCGCCCAGCATCAGTGAGAACATGGTGATGGAGGCCGTGGCGGCAGGAGCGGACAGCGCGGGGCCCGAGGCCGACCTGGGGCTGCCGGAGGACGACCTGGTGCTGCCCGACGACGTGGTGCAGTATATCAAGGCGCACGCCAGTGGCGCTCTGGATGAAGGTGCCGGGCAGGCGTATCCCACGGAAAGCACTGGCTTCTCTGACAACCCCAAACTGCCCAGCCCTGGGCTGCACGGCCAGCGGAGGATGGTGGCTGCGGACTCCAACGTCAGCGCCTCCATCCCTGTGCCGGGAGGATGCCAGCTGGGCTTTGGGGCGCCCTCCAGCCTGAACAAAAATAACATGCCTGTGCAGTGGAACGAGGTGAGCTCCGGCACGGTGGACGCCCTGGCCAGCCAGGTGAAGCCTCCACCCTTTCCTCAGGGCAACCTGGCCGTGGTGCAGCAGAAGCCAGCCTTTGGCCAGTACCCAGGCTACAGTCCACAAGGCCTACAGGCGAGTCCTGGGGGCCTGGACAGCACGCAGCCACACCTGCAGCCCCGCAGCGGAGCCCCTTCCCAGGGCATGCCCAGGGTAAACTACATGCAGCAGCTGCGACAGCCAGCGGCAGCCAGCCAGTGTTCTGGCGTGACTACCACTATGAGCCCCCATGCCTGCTACGGCCAAGCCCACCCCCAACTGAGCCCCAGCACCATCAGCGGGGCCCTCAGCCAGTTCGCCCCATCCTGCAGCAGCATGCCAGCCAAACCAGGCCATCTGGGACACACACAGCAGACGGAAGTTGCACCTGATCCCACCATGATGGACAACCGCCACAGGGAGCTTGGGGTCCTCAATTCAGCCCTGGCTGGAGTGCCACCACCTCACCCAGTCCAGAGCTACCCACAGCAGAGCCATCACCTGGCAGCCCCCATGAGCCAGGAGGGCTACCACCAGGTCCCCAGCCTTCTGCCTGCCCGCCAGCCTGGCTTCATGGAGCCCCAGCCAGGCCCAATGGGAGTGGCTACAGCAGGCTTTGGCCTAGTGCAGCCCCGGCCTCCGCCCGAGCCCAGCCCCGCTGGCCGCCACCGTGGGGTACGTGCTACACAGCAGCAGCTGGCCTATGCCAGGGCCACAGGCCATGCCATGGCTGCCATGCCGTCCAGTCAGGAGACAGCAGAGGCTGTGCCCAAGGGAGCAATGGGCACCATGGGGTCGGTGCCTCCCCAGCCACCTCCGCCGGACTCAGGGGGGCCCCTGGACCACAGCATGCTCTACTACTATGGCCAGATCCACATGTACGAACAGGATGGAGGCCTGGAGAACCTCGGGGGCTGCCAAGTCATGCGGTCCCAGCCACCACAGCCACAGGCCTGCCCAAACAACATCCAGCCCCAGCCCTTGCCCTCACCAGGGGTCAACCAAGTGTCCAGTACGGTGGACTCCCAGCTCCTGGAGGCCCCCCAGATTGACTTCGATGCCATCATGGATGATGGCGATCACTCGAGTTTGTTCTCAGGTGCTCTGAGCCCCAGCCTCCTCCACAATCTCTCCCAGAACTCCTCCCGCCTCACCACTCCCCGAAACTCCCTGACCCTGCCCTCCATCCCTGCAGGCATCAGCAACATGGCTGTCGGGGACATGAGCTCCATGCTCACCAGCCTCGCGGAGGAGAGCAAGTTCCTGAACATGATGACCTAGAGCCCCGAGCACCTGGCGCTGAGTGCACCTGGAGAGGTCATCGCTGCGCAGAGCCTAGGGGTTCCAGCTGTTTTGTCTTTTTCCAAAAAAGTGTTAAATAGGCATGAGGGGTTGTTGCCCAATGGCCGTTCAGACGACAGATGATGTAAGAGAAGGTTTATGGGCGTCCTCTCTGGTCTTCTGGATTATCCCTCAGAACAATGGAAGAAGTCTCCATAGAACAGGAAAGAATGCAAAACTCATGTACACCGTGCTCTCCAGCCTTTGGTGCCTACAGGACCACTCTGCTCTGGCTTCCTCATGGCTGACATTTGGCTAACGAGAGATTACTCTAGCCAAAGACTTTCCAAGGACATGCAGAAAGAGAGTAGGGAGCATTTGGGTTTGAATCTGAATGCCATATTAGATATTCTGGAAATGTAAGCTTCTTATTCTGCTACTTGCAAGGAGAAGGAATTCCTGGTCCCACCTGAATTCCTCTATGAAGCCTAACTCTTGAGGTCTCCAAGGTCCCTTGTCATAGAGGAAAAGCACAGATTATACCTGGATGATTCAGAAGCACATTCTGAGTCCAGGTTTGGTAGAGCTGGCTCTTCTAACCCATAAAGCCGAGTTTGGGACTGGCAGCCCATCCAAGTGTATATGAATGAATAAAGTATGTAAGTTTCACCAGAAAAAGGAAAGAAAAAATGTACTCCTTGGGGCAAGCCCAGAAGCTGCCCTGGCCTCTCCAGACCGTGTTTACAGTGTTTGCATGTAGAATGTAGCCCTTCCTGAAAAGAAGACTTGTTTCTAAATACCTCAGGGCTGCTGGAGCCGCTGTGGGTTAGGGATCGACAAAAGTGCACTCGGGGCAGAGCCTCAGGCTGCCCTGGGGATCTCCCAGTAGGAAGACGAAGTCATGTGTTTACCCAATCCTGTTTCTCCAATGCAATGTCCACCCATTTACCACGAAAAACTCCACGGCCTGACAGCAGCCCAGTGTTCTCCGCCAAGCCACAGCGTGCAGGCCTGGTGTCCTCCGGATTCCCTTCCTTCTGCCCCCGCAGTCGCTGGGCAGAGAATGATGACGTGTGATGGTACAGGTGGGGTGGAAAGAGGAAGAGGTTGATCCCCAGGTCATTGAATTCTCCTGGTCAGTGTGACCAAGACCCACCTGGAAATGGAATTTGGAATTGGCTTCAGGAGACATCATTCCTGGACACACTGGAGGGTGAATTTGTGCATCTTCCCCACCATATACACACACACCCCAAACCTTCTCATGGGGAATGTGTGGCAACCTTGCCAAACTAGCAGCACCACTCAGCGCGACTCTGACTGTGACCTTGGCCTCAAGAAGGAACTTCTTAGGAGAGTTTAAGGACAAGGCCATCATCATCTGGGCCCCCTGCATCCCAGCGTATCAAACTGTCCAGAGACAAGACCAGCTGCAGGTGAAAGCCAGGGAACATTGCTAAGGGTCCGTGGCTCTGCAGTGGTGTTCACTGCCTTCCCATTAGGATTTCCCTTGCTACTCCCAGCCTGTATATATTCTGTATAGAAGACATCCCTGAATATACTGTAGGTGAGTCATCCAGCCAAATTTATATCTCCAAAACATTTTTAGCTTTTTCTACATGCTATGAATTGAGATGACATGCTCAACTTGTAAATAAGTCTTTTGTACATTAAAAAAGTAATTTTTTCATAATTTATCTTGTCTATCTGCCTCTCCCTTGACAGTAGTTAATGAGAACCTGGGCAGTAAATTTGGTGCATTCCAGCAGAAATTAGGCTGTATTTTTTCTTAACAGTGTCAAAATCGACTATCCCGCCTTTGCCAAGAAATGTTTAATGCTGAGGCATTTACTGACTGTTTGTTTGTTGTCTCTTGGGACTGGGCAGGGTTTGACATTTCACAGCGAATATCTGACTGCTGTTCCGGCGAGCTGCTCTGAGCATCTATATGCATTGCACGCCAGGGTTAGACCCAAACACTCCTGGGGTCAGAAGCGTCTCTTCGGTGGGCACTCTGATGGACCACATTTCATCAGGGTGGGCCAGGGTGAGATGGGCAAACCCCCAAGGCTCTGGTGCAGGCACAAGGGAGTCAGGACAGGCAGGTGGCACCTCCAGGATGCCCAGCAGCTGCCCTTGGCAAAAGGTGTGGTTCTTCTTGACCCAGAGTCTTACGAACTAAAAGGACATGTTTCCTGCACACACACCCAGCATACAGTGGTGGACCAGGGCTAGAGTGACGCTAATGAGCACTCCATCTGGAAAGGGAGACGGAGGCACACAGCAGTCGCTGGTTCAGGCATCTGAAGTTCTGCAGGGCAGAGGTTGCAGAGCCCCTGCTGCAGGGGTGGGTGCTCCCTGAGTGGCTCCCGGGCCATCGTGCTCCACAGCTCTAGCCTCTACCACTGGGGCCTTCTTCCTTTCCCATCATCCTTTCAACTCCTGATGAGGATGTTGGAAAATAGTCCTTTTGGCAGTGGAGTAACTTTCAGCTTCTTCCTGCCTGTAGGAAGTTGGGAACCTAAAGTTCTTTAGGTTCCAACAGTCTCAGTTTCCTTTGAGTCCTGGGCGATGCCTTTGCTCAAGGCAATCTCTCAAGCATCAGGCGAGTTTTCTATGTATTTGATGCCAGCCCACTGGGTGTCAGAAGACACACCCAAATTCCTTTGGCAGCAGGAATTTGACAATGTGTACACCCACATCAGGCAGCTGTGGGCCACACCCTGATAGTCTGTAGGAACCCTCTTATTGCTGAAAGGATATGCTCAATGCCACCATATTCCTTGCAAGGACCTGATGACAAAGGGCATTAGCATGGAGAGCATAACCCTGATGTCGTCTCTACTCTGAAGCATCCTTCACCAACATAGCACTGGATCTGGTCTTTGCCTCCCAGGCCAGATACTAAGCTGATGCAAAAATAATACCTCTCTGCATTTGACAATGTGTACACCCACATCAGGCAGCTGTGGGCCACACCCTGATAGTCTGTAGGAACCCTCTTATTGCTGAAAGGATATGCTCAATGCCACCATATTCCTTGCAAGGACCTGATGACAAAGGGCATTAGCATGGAGAGCATAACCCTGATGTCGTCTCTACTCTGAAGCATCCTTCACCAACATAGCACTGGATCTGGTCTTTGCCTCCCAGGCCAGATACTAAGCTGATGCAAAAATAATTACTTTTATGCCACAATTATTTTGCACCAACCTAATATTAATTTGAGGACCTTCTACTGGCTAAAGAGCCCGTAGATGGGAGGTGATTTTGTTTTCTAAATTCTGCTTGTACACTGGCCATTTCCTCTCTGAACTCATCTCTTACGTGTAGAGCCTTATCATTTGCAGCTCAAAGAAGCTCATGTTTACAGTATTCTGCCTGCAAACCACCCTGCCTGACCCCACTAATTCATAGGTACATTTTCTCCCTCCCAGAGTATCATAGGCAATAATTTTACCAGCTGTTTCTCCACCACATAACACAGGTCACCATTTTTTTTTCCATTTTTCCCAACCGCCTCTGTATTTCCTCACTGCTCAGTTCCAAACCTCTGCTACCTATTTTAGGAGCAGCAGCCTCCGATTCTAGGTGCCAATTCCAGAAAAAGTTAACTGCAGTCCAGCAGTGCTGTCTAACAAAAATGCTTACAACAGGAGGCATCTGTTTAGCTCCTAAGTCTGCAAGTCAGCTGAGGTGGACTTGGTATGGCTGGGCTTGCTGAACCAGCTTAGCTCTGCTCCTGTGTCACTCCTCCCCCCAAAACCAGAGGATTGCTTGGACATCTAGTGGTGATGGCAGAAGGACCAATTGGCAAGAGATAACACAACACAGGATGCCTCTTTGGACCTAGCCTAGGAACAGGAAGCAAGGCATATGGCTGAGCCTCAGGTCAGTGGAACTAAGAAGCTCACTTCTATACAATGAGGGGAGACAGGTATCTGAGCAACAATCCCAACCAGGCATAGTGGCACACACCTGTAACCCTAGCACTTTGGAGGCCGAAGGATTGCTTGAGCTCAGGAGTTCAAGACCAGACTGGGCAAAATGGTGAAACCCTGTCTCTCTCAACAAAAAGTAGAAAACAGCTGGGCATGGTGGCATGCACCTGAAGTCCCAGGTACTCGGGAGGCTGAGGTAGGAGCATTACCTGAGCCCAAGGAGGTGGAGGCTGCAGTGAGCTGTGATGGCACCACTGCGCTCTAGCCTGGGCAACAGGGTGAAACCCTGTCTCAAAAAAAGAAAACAAAAAAAACTAATCCAACTTACCACAGCCTCAGTCCAGCTTTTATCACAGTAAGACCAACATTGCAACCTCCATCTGTCTGCTGACTGTGTATTTTAGATGATTCTAAACCCAGAAGAAATTAGCCAGGTGTAGTGGCATATGCCTGTAGTCCCAGCTACTGGGGAGGCTGAGGCAGGAGGATTGCAGCCCAGGAGTTCGTGGCTGGAGTGATTGGACCCCTGTCCTCCAGCCTGAGAGACAGAGTAAGACCCCAGTTCTATAAAATAAAAAATAAATACACCCAGAAAAGGATGACAGTAGTGGGGGTTCTTCTTTCTTATTCTTTTTTCTTCTTTCTCCTTTCTTCTTTCTTCTTCTTCTTTTTCTTCCTTCTTCATCCTCTTCCTCTTCCTGTTCTTCCTCTTTTCCTTCTTTCTCTCCTCCTCCTCCTTCTTTTCCTTCTCCTTTCTCTCCTTATCTTCTGTTGTTGCTGTTTTCTTCTTCTTCTTCTCCTCCTCCTCTTCTTCTTCTTCTTCTCCTCCTCTTCCTCCTCCTCCTCCTCCTCCTTCTTCCTCTCTCTCTCTCTCTCCCCCCCCCGCCCCGGAGGGAGTGATCAACTAACAGGGAAGGCATGAAAGATCAAGAAAAATATCTGGTTGGGAGGTGGGAGAGGATCAGAAAAAAATGACTGAAGGATACTAGGCTTAATACCAGGGAGATGAAATATCTGTACAACAAACTGCAATGACATGAGTTTACCCATGTAAAAAACCTGCCCTTGTACCCTTGAACTTAAAATGAAAGTTAAAAAAAGAAAAAAAATCTGATTCAGGTTTTAAAAGATGAATAGGAGTTTGTCTGAGGCGACTGAGATTCCTCATCAGAAACCATGAAAGCCAGGAGTAAGTGAAATATTTTCAAAGTGCTGAAAGAAAAGAACTGTCAACCCAGAACTTGTTATTCATGAAAATATCCTTCAGAGATGAAAGTAAAATAGATACTGTGAGATAAATGGACATCCTCAGATAAAGGAAAACTATGAGGATTCATTGCTCATAGACCTGCCCTGGAAGGCAGAAGGGAAGCGATCCCAAAGAAAACGTGGAGCATCAGGACCGGAGGAAGAGCAGCGGAAGTGGTAAGTGTCTGCGTGAATACGGTAGCCTACTCCTACCTCTTGGGTTCTTTAAAATACGTTCAACACGTAAGAGAAAAAAAAGTATAACATTGTTTGATGGAGTTTGCCATATATGTAGATGTCATAAAGACGAGTATTAGGTAAGTGGAGAGGGTTAAGGACCTGTATGGGGTTCTAGAATTCCATTTCACTTGAAGTGAGAAAGTATTGATCTGCAGACAGTGCAAAGTTATATATATTCTAATCCCTGGTGCAACCAGAAAAAGACCAAACAAACTATACAAAAGGATGTAGGCAAAACTGGAATAGAGACATTGAAATGGAATACTAAAAACATGTTCAAATAACTCAAAGAGGACAAAAAAGGGGCAATAGGAATAATAACAACAAAAAGAAGCAACAGAGAAAAACAAAGAATGAAATGGTAGACCTAATGCAAACATACCAATAATTACATAAAATAAAAATGGTCTAAAAGCCTCAATTAAAAGACACAATAAAGTGGGAGCACTCACACGACCTGGTTTTAAGACGTACTGTAAAGCTGCAGTCGTTAAGACAGGGTGGTATTGGTGATGGGAAGACACAGCTCAGTGGAACAGAGCAGATCAGGGTCACGCACTGTAGCCCAAAGACCAAATCTGTCTGATATGGTTTGGCTGTGTCCCCACCCAAATCTCATCTTGAATTGTAGTTCCCATAATCCCCGCATGTTGTGGGAGGGGCCTGGTGTTTCCCACAGAGCTAATATAAAATACAAAACCAAAGTCTTTTATGGTAATTGAATCATAGGGATGGTTACCCCCATGCTGTTCCCATGATAATGAGTGAGTTCTCACAGCATCTGATGGTTTTACGAGGCACTTTTCCCCCTTTGCTCGGCACTTCTGTCCCTGCCACCTTCTGAAGAAGGAAGTGCCTGCTTCCCCTTCCACCATGAGTGTAAGTTTCCTGAGGCCTCCCCAGCCACACAAAACTGTGAGTCAATTAAACCTCTTTCCTTTATAAATTACCCAGTCTCAGGTTTCTCTTCACAGCAGCATGAGAATGTACTGATATATACTGGCCATGGTCTCTTTTTGTATGACCTGTGAGCTAAGAATGGTTTTTACATTTTTAAAGGGTTTTTTAAATATAATAAAAGCATATGAAGCAGAGATCATATGACCCACAAAGCCTAAAACATTTACTATTTTACCCTTCACAGAAAACATTTGCCAACTCCGGAATAGAGAATCCAGAAATAGACCCACAAAAATATGACAATGGATTGTGAACAAAGGTGCCGAGGTAATTCAATGGGAAGAGGACAGTCTTTAAAACACAGGATGTTGAAACAACTGGATATCCATAGGCAGAAAAAAAATGAACCTTAACCTAAACCTCTTACCTCACAAAAGTTGCCTCTAAATAGATCATAGAGCTAATATAAAATATAAAACCATAACATTTTTTTAAGAAGTAGCCATGGCATAAAAAATCTTTATGCCCTGAGGTTAGACAAAAAGTTATTATACACGACACCAAAAAACATGACCCATAAAAGAAAAATTTGGGAAATTGGATTTCATAAAATGTTAAAACATATGTTCTCTGCAAGAAATAAGAGAATGAAAACGCAAGCTACAGACTGGGAGAAAATCATTGTTTCATCATCTATCCAACAAAGGACTTGTATCCAGAGTATATACAGAACTCTCATGATCAACGGTAAGAAAACAAATCACCCTGCTTAAAAATGGGCAAAAGGTTTGGACAGATGCTTCCCTAAACAGGATATATGGTGGCATATGAGCACAAGAAAGCCCGCTAGGAAGATGAATCTTCACTTCCTTACAGAGCTCCAGGCCCAGCCTATGGGAGGTGACAAGGGGCCTTGAACCCCACTGTCCTCCTCTGTGAGACAGGTTTGATAAATTGCCCATCCCAAAAACCCTTTCAAGGATGAAAGGAAACCAAATATGTAACATTTCTCAGCCTTAGTGAGCGTTCAATAAAGATGTCTCTGTGCTGAGAGACATCATCATCACAGAAATATTCCTTTGGATAATAGATTTGGAAGAGAAATATCCCTGGAAAAGATTACTCTCGGTCCCACCATCGCAAGAACTCATTTCATCAATAACTTCATTCCTAAAAATTGATCTGAAGGTATTTTTGAAGCCCAGTAACTTTGCAGCAAGTCCACTTGGCTAGCGTGAACCAAGCTTCTCAGAATTCCTGCTCCTGGGTGTTTCTGTGAGGCTGGGTCACAAGAAAGATTCTTGTGGGAGAGTTGCAGGGACAGAGGGAGGCAGCAGGCATTTCACGGCCCATTTATGTTGGCGGTTACTTGCAAGCTCTGCCCCTCTTTGTGGGGCAGCCATCTGGGCCTCCACCTTCCCCAGCTCCTCCTTCAGCTGCCCCACCTCCGGGCCAGGTGTGTGTGTTTAGTGCCATGGTGGGGGCCCTGCCTTCAGAAAAATATTCATACCACCAAGGCCAGAAGCAACAAGTGCTGGCAGCTCTCAGTCTGTCCTTGTGGGCTCCAGTTTGTCCTTGCTCCCCCAGCCTACAAGTATCTTCCCTTTCTGACCACCTGCCTGTCAGCTTCAAGTTCCAGCATTAGACACAGCAAAAGGGCCTTATAGAGACTGCTTGACCAGTCCTTATGATTGCAAAACGCCAGGTCCTTGCAGCAGATCCATTCCTATATCGATCTATCTACCCACCTATCTATCTATTATCTAGCTAGCTATTATGGTCTATCATCTCTCTCTCTTCTCTCCATCTAGCATGATTTCCTTGTCTATCATCTATCTATCCATCTATCCATCCATTCATCCACCCGTCTATCCATCCACCCATCCATCCATCCATCCATCCATCCATTCATCCATCCATCACAGTGTCCTGTGTTTCTGCTTAAGCCATGGCTGATAACATGACCAGGGAAGGAAGGTAGCTCTGAAGCTCTGGCAAGGCTGACAAGGGCCAGCCTGGTGACCTGCCATAGCTGCTGTGAACCGGATGCTACCCTAAGTGTTTGCTCTGTCCCAAGCACTGTACCATACACATTAAATCTCTTGGGCAGGTTATATTGCTGCAATAATGTTGGAAACAAACCATCCTCAAACTCCTAGGCTTAAAGCAGTGATCATTTGTTCTCACTGCTCCATGGGTTTCCCAAGAATGGGCTGATCTATGCCAGGCTGGGCTCAGTGGCCCAGCTCCACATTCTGAGGTCCAGACTGAAGGATCAGCAGTGACCCCAGGGAGAGTCTTCTCGTGCTGAAGGCAGAAGTTCAAGAGGACACAGGAATTTGCAAGGCCCCCTGAGACCTAGGTTCAGAACTGGTCCACTGACACTTCCATCCCTTTCTGTTGGCCAAAGCAAGCGACATGGCCAGACCCAAAGTCACAGAGGCAAGGAATTTCATCCTGCCATTAAGGAGGCAAGGCCGGGGCATGGAGTCCAGGCAAGGTGAAGAACTGGGACCGATGACTGTGTCTACCACTCACAGTGTTTACCCTGTGGCAGGCACTGTGATAGGCAGTTTACATTAATGGAGTTCTGTAATCCTCACAACAACCCTACACAACAGATAGGAGCTATATGATCTCTAGTTAGGTTAACTTGTCCAAGATTACATTGCCACTAAGTGGCAGATGAGGATTTAGACTCAGGCGGTCTAACCCCAGTGCCCTCGCCTCACTGTGATGAGAGAGTGGTGAGCAAAACGAGGCTTGTCGACAATGGGGGAAAGTGGCATGAAGCAAATAAAGGAGAACTGCAGCTCTCAGGGCCAGGAAAGCTCATGGTGCTGTGAGACAATGTAATAGGCGGATTTGATCAAGTCAGGGAGTTTGGAGAAGACACCTGAGAAAATGGTAACTGAGCCTTGGTCTGAGAGATGGCCAAACACGAAGGGCAGGGAGAGGTATTCCAGGAAAAGGGAAGAGCATGTGTAAAGGCCCTGAGGAAGGAGTGGGGACCACAGTACCAGTGAGTAGGTAAGGAAAGCAGGCCTGGCTGGCAGAGGCTAAGGGGCTGAAGGGGTGGGGAAGAAGGTCAGTGGTGCAAAGCCTTGAAAGCTAGGGTAAGCTCAAGCCTTCTCCTAAGAACCCTCATTCCCTGCCTCCCCTAGCGCCTCCTGGTTTACCAGCACTCTGCTCCACTGCTGTGCTTCACTGCATCCACCTGGCCTCCTTGCTGCCTCAAGCATGCTCTGGGCTTCTGCACTGGCTGTTCCCCAAGTATCCATGTGACTCACACTTCACCTCCTTCAGGTCTTTGCTATCCTAAACACCCTACTTGAAATTAGAATACCGACCCCCCCACCCCCCGCCGCCACCACCAGCCCCATCTCCTTACCTGCTGTATTTTTTTTCACAGCACAAATAAGCTTCAAGATCACTGTAACTCACACTTGCCAAATGAGCTCATTGGTGACAGAAGCGGGTGCTGGGTTGGTGCATGATGGAGCAGTGTTGGGTGGGAGGGAGGCAGGGACGGCACTCAGCACTCTGCAGACAGCCATTTGGTCAGAGCCAGAAGTGGAATCATGGAGTGACCGCTTCTTCCAGAAGTTTGCTAGCAAAGGGAAAAGAGAAGAGAGAACAAGAGCAGGAGAGGTTTTGTCTGTGATTTTTTTAATGGGAAAGATTTAAGCATGTGGAGAGTTGCTGAGATGATCCAAATGAGAGGGAGATGCCAAATAGATAGCGGGCAGGGGGTGAGCTGACCAGAGTGTGTGGCGGGAGCCAGAACAGGGTAAGGGGTTGGGGAGGGTTGACCTTAGACAGCAGGATGGACAATGCTGCTGCTGGAACAGGAGGGAGGAAAGAGAAGAGGGATGATTGGAGGTTGCTCGTAAGTTTGGGACCAAGAAGAAAAGAGCTTCTATCCTAGCCCTCGATGTGGGCACCAAGGTGGCCTGCTGGGAGAGGGGTAATCAGAGGTCCAAGAATGGTGAAGAAGGTTTGGGACAGTCGGTTACCTGGGAGCTGGGTGTCTAGAGAAGCCCCAAGGACTCTCTTAGGATGGTGATGGGGGAACGGTCTCTGCTCCTGGGGGGCCTTGTCTCACAAGCCTGGGCTGCTGAGAGGTCTGGAGAGAGAAAACTGGGCCAGGGTCATCACATTAGCACTGGCTGAGATGGTCTGACCAGAGGGATGAGGGGAAGGGAGCAGCAGCCTTAGGGAAACAGAGGTGGCTGAGAATCCAAGGAGGTCACTGCCCTCTTACTTGGGCATTTGTGATTCCAGCACCAGGTTGAGCGTCAGACAGTACCTCTTTCAGGGAGCTGCCTCTCTCCCTAAAAAATTGCTCCCGGGTGGGGGTGAAATTATGTCTACATGTAACGCTTTACAAGGCGGGGAGGAGAACCCATTAGGCCTGCTGCCGGCGTCCCCGCAGCGCGGCCAGCTGCTGGAGCTAGAGGTAATTCCCCGGTGCCCTTTATTGCCTCCGCTCGGCGGGAGTGACACCGGGCCCTGCTTTATGAGCTGTCAATAAGGGCTGTGTTTTATATTACGGGCGGGACAATTTACAGGCCAGCCAGCACTCTGCAGACAGCCATTTGGCCAGGGAGGAAAACGGCTTCATACTTAAGAAATTTGGAAGCCAGAAAACAGCCTGAGCCTGTGTATGTGTGTGTGTGTGCACGCGCGTGTGTGCATGTGTGCACGTGTACGTTTGTGTGCTGTATGCATGCACACATGTAACTATGTGCATGCTCAGTTTCGTCTGCCTGACTTACTAGTATTGAAAAACAAGAAAAGCTCCACTAAATAGGCTGACTACCAAAACGAAATGAAATAAAGTGACTTGTTTTCTTCTGGATATGGCCTTTGCACCACATGCTGACAACGAGGTTTGAAGGAAGGAGCGGGTGGCCAGAGGTAGTCAGTCTTGGCAAATCCACATGGGTTCCTTTCTCCCTGGGTAGGTCTAGCTCTCAGCAAAACAAATGATAACATCTTCCA